ATACATATACATAGACCTGTATAACAGACTTACATGCAGAATAGATAATTCCTGTGAGTCAATAATAAAAATTCAAATAATCCAATTAAAAATTGGCAAAGACTTAAAATAAACTTAAATATAGAATGGCTGATAAGCACATTAAAAGATGTTAAACGTCATTAGTCATCAAGAAAATATAAAATAAAATCACTATGGGATACCACTACAGACTATGGGAATGGCTAAAATTCAAAACCCTGACAATACCAAGTGCTGAAGAGGGTGTGGAGTGACTGGACTCATGCATGTGGACGGAGCATGCCCTGGTGCAGCCGCTCTGCACAGCGGTCTGGCGGCTTCTCATAAAGTTCATGGCTGTCATACCACTCAACCCAGCCATGGCACTTCGACCTGTATGACCCAAAAGAAATGCAATGTCTACACAAAGACTCATGCACAAGTATTCACAGTAGCATCATCTATAATAGCTGCAAGCAGGAGACAGGCCCAATGTCCATGACCACGTGAATGGATGAGCCACCTGTGCTGTGTCCATGCCATGGTACTGCTCAGCGGTAAGAAGGATAACCTACCGACACATGCGACACAGGGATGAGCCTCCATGTGATCATGCTGAGACGCCAAACCCAGTAAGTGCACTCACTCTGTGATTCCATCTGCAGGAAATTCTAGAAGATGCAGACCAATCCACAGTGATAGAAAGCAAGTTGGCAGCTGCCTGGGGCCCCAGGGGACTCCTGGGTGATAGAAATGTCCTGTGTGTTGGTTTTGATGGCGGTCACACAGGGCAGTCACACAGGTGAGCACTCCTCAGGCTGGGTGGGCTCGGCGCATCTGCCTGCAGGTTGACTGTGCCTCAGGGTCCTCTAGCTCCATCTACAACCTGGCACTCGGGCATTCCCCTCAAGTGTTGCTAGCTGGAAGTGGACATGTTCAGCCATGGAAGAAAGTCACCTTTCCCCGTGGACTGAAAAGAACCTGCCAGGGAAGCTCGGCGGGCCTGGAGTCCTGCGCTGCATCTGGCTACGTCGCCTTTCAGAAGATCAAAGGGGAAGGGGACATTTCTGGCCACCTGGGTTTCCTGAGTATTGTTTAAGTCCTCTCTATTTTTTACAGAAATCACATTCAAATAAGTGAAATCATGATAATTAAAGAGGAGTGAGTCATAGAGACCAGCAGTGCCCCAAGGGAGGAATGAACATGCCCCGCCCCCCCCCAGCCCCCACAGCCTCACGAGCCCCAGCCCAGATTCCCCACCCCCACCCCTGGCTTCTGTTCTCTCCTACTCACATGTACAGCCACCCAAAGAGCTGGACCCTGGAAAACCACAGGTGGGCCCTTGGAGAAATCCACCCCGAACCTTGCTCAGGCCCACGCTACACAAAAGATTGGCCCCTTCCTGGATCAAAGGTCATGTCACAGGAGGGCTGTGCTCACCCCACCTCTCACCAGCATGCCCATCTGAAATCTTCTGGTATTATTCTGGAAGAAAAACTAAGAGGCCACCGCTTTTTCTTCCGCCCCAAACAAGTCCGTTCCTCTAAGGGCAGATTCGGATCCTGCCTGTGAGAGTAGCGCATGCAGGAAAGTGCCCCACTTGGAGCTTCCCCAGTGACCCTAGTCCAGGGCTGGGACACCGTCTCACTCTCCACCCTGTGCACAAGGAGCCAGGCCTATTCCTGGGAGACAGTATTTCTTCCTAAAAGGAGGGCCCACACTAATACTACTACCCTATGGCCTAGCCACAGAAGTGCCACTGGTTCTGGCTGATAGACATGCACAGATGTGCACCTAAGACACTCTTGGGCAAAGATCTCCTCACCATGAGCATCAGACAGGTTGCTACACCTGAGCAATCCAGTCAACTGACAATGCTTCTTCTCTCGTGGGTGTTTGGTCCCACTCCACTGAGGATGATGCTGGGGACACTGCTGTCCTTACTGAGTACTCACTGTGGGTCAGGCACTGTGCTGTTTCACAAGTATGTTCTCACAAGCTCCAGAAGCAGATGCCATTGTTGTGTGCACCATCTTGACAACAGGAGTGCCAATGCACAGCATGATTGGGTCATCTGTGCAGCTTCACAGGACATCTGCAGAGGTGGGATGTGAATCCAGGTGTGTGACAACAGCAGCCACAGTTTTAGCCACCATGCCACTGTGCACGTTGGGCCCACTGGCACCATTCTATCTTGTCTTAGCAAGGATGTAAGCAGCCGCTTGGATCCCCAACAGAGGGAGTGGAAAAAAGAAAATCTCAGAACCCCCAGGGCATACCACCACTCACAAGTGCCAATTGTGTGGTAAGGGGTGTGTCACAGCACGGCTCAGCCTTGCCAGTCAAGGAACAAACACATCCACAACATAAACATTTTACCAAACACCCTAGGTAGGTGGGGCCACACAAGACCTGGGCAGGGACTGTGAAGAAACCCCTTGGCCACAGGGCACACCCACAAGTGGGTCTTGCCACTCCCATGGCCACATAGTAATCTTCATTGGAAGGATTGGAAATGGATCATGAACAAATCACTTAGTCCAGGGTAGGGTTCCAGGGTACTACAAGGCTTCTGTAAAGCTCCCTGAATGGGGTCTCATTTGCAACCTGAGGATTCCAAGTCTCACATGTCACCACCACCATCATCATCATCACCATCATCACCATCACCACCATCACCACCACCACCATCACCATCATAACATCACCATCACCACCATCATCATCATAACATCACCATCACCACCATCACCACCATAACATCACCCTCACCATCACTATCATCACCATCACCATCATCACCATCACCATCATAACATCACCATCACTATCGCCATCACCACCACCACCACCACCATCATCACCATCACCACCACCACCACCACCATCATCACCATCACCATCATCACCACCATCACCACCACCATCATCATCATGATCATGGCACATCACACATTCTGGAAGAAATAGCCAGGTAGGTGAAACCTAGGAGCCCCTTAGCTAACAACTACTTACTGAGGAGCCACCACATACGGGATTGTTCTCAGCACCCGGAGCACGATGAGGTATGATGGTTCCCCACAAGGAGCTGGCCGTCTAGTCAGGGAGCCAAGGCATGTGCAAATCAAGTTACTCATCAGCATGACACATATGAATCAAGAGGTTCAGACACAAGATTATGCTTAAGGTCTTCTAGTTTCTAAGACTACATTCCCAAATAAACAGATTTTCCTTTAGCACATCCACCCCAGCCTTCTTGTCATACAGCAAATGCCACAGAGCCCAAGTTCAGAGCCTGGAGCTGGGCTTGCTCCCCTGAGTGGTGAGGATGAGCAGCAGGCAGGCCCCATGCACATGCGAGGCATGGGCAGAGCTTCCATGTGGGGGTTGCTGAGCTCATTTGGAAGTGCATGATCTGACTTGACTTCCTGTCAAATGAGGGGCCTCATAGCTCATTAAGTCGGTATTAGCCCCAGCCAGCAATTTAAGATGTTATCATTGTTCTTAAATATGCAGCCAAAACTGCAGAGAATACTCAGAAAACAAGGAGCTGTTTGCTCAGGAGGCTGCAACCTACGGCCTGAGGACCCTCCCGGCCTCTTGCACCTCATCCAGCTGTGTCAGGTCGGTCACAGGATGGGCTGTCTGAAGGGCTTAAGGGCCAGGACTCCCACGTGAGCAGTACTCCACGTGCACAGAGCACACTGCAGCATCCCCGGCAGATCTCACCACCTGTGGTGGCTGGTCCTTGTCCGACGCCCACTGCACTTGCCCTCAGGGGAGCTGCTGTCCATTCACTGGGCACCTCCCTCTTCAAAGAACTTTTGTTTCTGGTTTTTTTTTTTAATTGTTGTAGAATACACATAACAAAATGTACCATCATAACCATTTTTAAGTGGCATCAGTAACACCCACATTGTGCAACCATCACCACCATCCATCTCCAGAACTCCAAACTGAAGCTCTGTCCCATTAAACACTCGTTCTCATCCCCACCCCCACCCAGCCCCTGGCACCCACCCTTCTATTTTCTGTCTCTATGGATCCAGCTACACTAGATGGCTCACATAAGTGAGATCATAGATCATATAATTTTTGTCTTTTGGTGTCTGGTTATTTCACTGAGCACAATGTCCTCAAGGACTGTCCATGTCATAGTGTATAAGGATTCCTTCGTTTTTAAAGCCGAGTAATATTCTGCTGTACATGTAGATTACATTTCTTTATCCATTTACCCCCCAATGCCCACTTGGATGGCTTCCTAATTTTAACTACTGTTAATAATGCAATGAACATGGGCTATAAATCTCTCAAGACCCTGCTTCCAATTCTTTTGAGAACATACCCAGAAGAGCAGTTGCTGGATCCTGTGGTAATTCTGTGCTTAATTTTTTGAGGCACCACCATTCTGCGTTCCATAGAGAACACACATTCCCACCGCTAGTACACAAGGGTTCCAGTTTAATAATGGCCATTGTAAAGGGTGTGAACAGTTGAAGAACTTTTTTTTTTACCAAAAATATTTGCCAGGTATCAAGATGAACAGAATCCTTGTTCTTGTAAGAGGCCATGTCTGCCCTACTTCTAGAAGGTGGTAAAGACTTTGAGAGACCAGGACATAGCTTGGCTGTGAGATTCTTCCAAATCCTCGATTTACAAGTGGATTCAGGGAATGGGGCCAAAACCCTGAAAGTGGTGGGCCAGCCGCAAACAGACCCATTAAAACTATTGACAACTTAGACCCTGGCTGTGGGGAAGAGCCAAGGAGCAGGCAGGCCCTGGGCCTAATTGTCCCCAGTGTGAGGCTCAGGCCCTAGGCCCCTGCTGCTGCACTGGGCGAGGACAGTGTGTCTGCAGCTGGAATGCCACCAGCACTGAACGTAGGACTTGGACCACACCCTCTTCTTTTAGAGCTGGAACTTCAAGGAACCTGAAGGACATGGCTGCTCACGAAGCAGCTTGAAGAAAAGAGCCCCAGAGAGATGAGCCCAAGGGGAAAGTCAAGTTTTCTCCCTCAAATATTTTATTTAAATATTAAATTAAAAAAACATACATCAACTAATCATTTGGCATACATTTCTCATGTTAACATAAGAAACAAAATAATTCAGTTATGGTAAAAAAAAAAAAAAACCCACAAAACTATATACATCTTAATCAGATCATGTAGTGTCTTTAAATAGGCTACTGCGTTGCAGCCTGTGGAACAGCGCTGCCGGGAAGTCTACAAAACACACATCGCACACGCTTTAAACAAACAAGAAACAAAAACACGACTTTATCATCCTCCAAAAGAGGTTCTACAGCAATAAGAAACAAAAACCACTACGAAAGTAAAGTGCTTGTCATCGCTTCAAAGAGGAGTCACACAGCGGTTTCTGAGGCCTTTGATCTATGGCAATAGAACAGAAATCATTTTTAAAAGGGGGAAGGGTTTTGTGTTGGAATCGGTTGTGCTACCTCTGAAGAAATGAAGGCAGAGGGCCGGTCGCCCCACGACGGTCTGGATTCTCGTTCCTGTTCCAAAAACTTTTTACAAGTTAGCAGGAAACTTTGGTGTTTTCTCTGCGGCAAGGCACCAGGTCCGTCCCCTCGAGGCCAGTCCTTCGCCCCATCTTTGAAAGGGCCACAGAGCAGCAGCAGCGGGAACGGTAGCAGCAAGCTCAGCAGACAGCACAGAAACGGGCACAGACCGGCAACCACACTGACAGGCGGCTGCCGTGCACACCGGCCTTCCTTCCTATCCTCAAGTAACTCAGTCGATCTTTGGCTTTTAAAACACCCACCTTTTCCCCCCAAACGACCTCTGTTTAATACTGCAGGTTGTAAGAAGCCACAGCCAGCTGAAGGCACCTGGGTCAGAGAGGGAGTCAGCGCAGAGCCAGCAGAGCAGCGGGTTTCCAACTGAACCCACCTGCCAAAGGTAAACCTGGACCTGTCAGGTAAGGCCACTCCCACCCTACCTCCTCCGGCTCAGGGGCCCAGCACCGAGAGGGAGAAGGCCCCATAGCCCCTTCCTCAACACAAACCTGGTGCTGATGGGAAACGCTTCTAAACATGACTGAGAGGGAAGTTTCAACCAGAAACACAAAAGTGTAGTACAAAATATAAAAAATAAGTAGTGTATATTTGTCTCCCGTTTATATACAGACACAGTATTTGCTTTAAAAAAGAAACAAAGCTCTAAAAACACTGACCTAAACCTCTTTTCACCTCCCTTGAACAAAAGCCCACAGGAGTCCAGGCCCGGGTGTGGGGCCATCTCACCAAGGAGGTCCCGGCCCAGGGCAGGTGCAGTCATGAGCCCGCAGCCCACCTTCTGTCTGCTCCAGTCCCACAGCCACAGCCTCACGTTACTGCACAAACCCCCCAAGTCAGGTGTTCTTGTTGGACCCTGATAATGAAATGCTTAAAATTTAATTAGCAGCAGAGATATGCAGCAGGAAGAAACTTATCGGCTTCTTCAAAAACTCCTGGGGGTTCTGGGACAAGTGACTTGTGGGACGGAACCCGCCATAACCACCCAAAGTTGCCCCATCCTCTTCCAGGTCCTTCCTGTGGCTCCTCCAAAAAATCCTGGAAAACTAACTCTTGAGCAGTCTATAAAACTTCTCATCTAAAATAAGAAAAAATGATCCTCCAGGTTCTGATTTCAGGGGAGAGTTCCAAGAATTTGTAGGTTACCTTTGCCTGGGCTGACCTCTGGAGTGGTTTTAAAACTGATACATAAAGCAGAGAATTCACAGTTTTCGTTAAAGCATAAATGTTTCAAGAAGTGGAGAACTGTTAACTAAAAAAAAAGGATACCAGTCAATGCACACACACACACACACACCATAGGCGGACAGTGACGCACCCACTCCTGCTTCAACGGAGGTCTGAGGCAACCATCCACGACCACGACAGAGCCGTGGACAAGGGAGCCGAGGCCCCTGCCAACTCTGCCCTCCAGCTCACTCCCCTCCTGCCCACTACCCGCACAACATGCCCCTCGATTATTATTTTTCTTCATAGAGTTTCCAGTCCCTACTCATAGCTGAGGTCACTCAGTGCAAGGAAAAAAACAAAACAAAAAATAAACTAAAAAGCCAAAACACCTAACGTATTGCTTGTTTTGCTCTAGAAAGTCCTTGGCTTTGAGTCCAGAAACATCTTCACATACTCTGAAATTATTGCTTGGAAGAGTCAGTTGGCTATGGGGCACGTGGGCTCAGGCCCCACTCCTCACTGCACCAGAACAAATGTCCCCAGCAGGCCAGAGGTCAGGTCCTCCATCTCACAGTCCCCCTGCATCAGCCCTGTGGGGTCACAACCTGGGGCCAGCGTGGCAAGGCATGGCAGCGGGGGCACAGCAGGGCTGGTGCTGATGTGCAGGTGGGTGTCCAGCAGCCGCGCTGCCGATGCCACAGGGGAGACGCTGGCCTGTAGGCGGGGGGGCGGCAGCAGTGGGAGCCCCGACATGAGGAGGGCGCTGGGGAGTGGGGTGGCCCCAGAGCCATCGCAGGTGGCAAGCAGGTATGGGGCCAGGGACTGCTGGGGGGCCTGAGGGCACCTGGGTGGGGAAGCCAGGTGGTGCTGTAACTGGAGCAACCTGCAAGGGCAAAGGGACAGGGAGGGGACAGGTCACTCCACAGGCTGCTGGAATGCACTCCCCCGCGCTGCTGGTGAGATCGTGTTTCCATGGCACCTGCATTGGGTCCCACCTGCTCTGGAGCTGTGGCTGGGCTGACAAGGTGCGCTGCTGTGCGTGACCAATCCATGACTGCTCCCTGATACCTCATGCCCCACCTGGCCTCTGCAGCAGCTCAAAAGTGCCAACCAGATGGCACGCTTCTCTCACTGCCACCCTCTCCCTGACTGCCGCCCCACCACCACCAAGTCTGCAGCGAGCAAGCCCGAGCCTTACAAACCTCCCCGCAGACTCGGAGGTAGGGAGCTGTGCCCATTGGATGACATGAGGGGGATGCTTAACAGACAGGGCTGCTATGGGAAAGCCTGCCATGTGTGGGTCCCCAGATCACCAGTGACCGGCACAGAGGGCAGCAGCTGTACCTCTGCTGGTGGAGCACGTCTTCCAGCAGGCTCCGGCTCTCCCGGCCGCTGGTCCCACTGCTCTGCAGGCCCGGGCTCTGTGCAGGGGGGTGGAGGGAACCTGGGCCACCCCTGCAGGCCCGGCTGGATGAGGGCTGGCACACCTGGCGAGCCAGGCCCTTGATTGCGTTCAGCCCCAGAAACCCTTTGGTCCTGGCGTTCTTCCGCAGCTGCTGCCGGAAGGCTTTCAGGCCTGTGGAAAGACCACACAGGGAGAGTCAGGGGACTGCAGTCCCCCCATTCAGGACCCATGCCCTCGGCTTGTCAGGGCAGCCTGGGGGAAGAGGCAGGATGAGTAAGGCAAATGTGATCAGATGGAGGCCCTGAAGGGTCAGGGCCTGCCCAGTGTCCTCCTCGGACCCCAAGCCATCTTCTTCCCAGGTCTGGGTAGACCTGGGATTCTTTACATGGGTGTGGGGGGAGCAGGGCAGGACTCAGGAGGCCCCTGGAACCCACATGGATACAGAGGGGCTCACAGGCATCCAAACCCTAGCTGGTGTGCTGGGACCCAGGCAGTCGGGTGGGCGTGGGCTGCCTTTTGGCTCTCTCCTCGTGAGGAGCTGCTACCAGTGTGGGAACACCTCCCATGCTTCCAGAACAGGCCAGTGATGGCTGTTTGCCATGCTGGGGCCCAGGTTTAAGTCCATCCCAGTGGACCAAGATGCCCAGAGCCCTGGTGGCACTTCTGGCCAGCCCAAGGAGCACTGCTGGTCCACTCAGGCCCAGGACAGAATGGGGCACATCACACGCTACCCAGGACAAAGGGACATCCAGCCAGGACACAAGCATCCCTTGGGGAAGGTGAAGTGAGCATGGAAGAGGTGGTCACCTTGAGTCAGCGAGGTGTCCGATGCCCTCCGTCCCTCTTGAAAGCTGATGGGGAGCAGGACAGCTCCTCCCAGGCCTCCCTGGGCCTGCAGCACAGGGGTGGCAGACTGAGCCCCTGGGAAAGGTGAGGCCAGCCTGACTGGGGAGCAGGTGCCCAGCAGCCCTTGAGTGGCCAGGCTGCTGCTGAGCCCTGCAGGGCCGTCGCTGGCAGAGAAGGTCAGGCAGCTGTCAGAGCTGGTTCCTTCTGAAGGACTCGCAGTGGTAGAGGAGACGATTACACCTGCGGGGGGACAAGGCACTCTTGAGGGAGGCCCCACACTCCCCAAGCCAGACAGACGGAGCTGCCGCTTGCTGGGCAGAGGAACAGGCCACGGAGAGCCTCCCAAGCCTCTGACAGCCTGAGCATGGCCTGCTGGAGGGGACAGATAGCTGTACTGGCCTTCCCCCATCTCGACCCTTAACACTGGTGGGAGAAAGGCGTCTACTGATGGCTCAAGGCCATCAAAGCTTGAGGAGCCTCAAAGGCAGCGACCACAGGGGTGCAGCTGCAGGTGGCAGATTATCAGTGAAAACTCAGACCCCAGCATGCAGGAGAGGACAGGGTGCAACCTGGTGTAGAGCAAACCCACACTGTCTCTTCCACAAAACCACCACAGGCAGGACCTGTGTATGAGCTACGCAGTCTCAGGGACTAAAACAAAAGTGAATCCTGAGAACATTAACAAGAAGAGACTACCAGGCAAAAAGTCCATTCCACACTAGCCTGTCACTGCCTCGACCATCAATCCGTCCATCAAGCTGTCTTCCCTGGACCTCAGAGACACTTACACGGAGGGGTGAGTGGGGAGAAGTGGGTGGTGACCTCTGCCAGGGTGTGCCTCCGTCCCGTACCACCAGGCAGGGGCTCGGGGGCCTCGTGCTCCTCCTGCGGGCTGTGCTGTGCCTCTTCACTGATGGCCGTGTCCAGCAGGCTGCCAGGGGAGGCAGGGCGGTGCTGGAGCACTCCGCTGCAGTTGGCATCCACCGGGAAGAACAAGGGCTGCATCAAAGGATACAAACCAGTGACTTCCTGGGGCTCTGTGAGACCTGGGTGTGGCAGGGGACACCAAGACAGGGAACAGGGTGAGCCCTTCCAAGCCTGGCCGTAGGTATCCACGCACCTGCAGTGCACTGTGGAGGTCACAGTCCATCTCGGCCTGCAGGACAGACTGTGCCAAGCTCTGGGGCTGCGGGCACAGCAGAGAGGTTCGGAAAGGGTCAGTAGGGAGGCTGTCCTGAGGCACCTGGGGGATGGCAGAAGGGGGAAGATGACATCAGGAGAGTGAGTCTGGCAACGACTACCAGTGATATCAAGAGAAAGACCAGGTTGGTTTGGCAGCTGGCGCTAACAGACGTCAGGCACTAGCTCGCCAGGGAGAGGCTCAGGACACTGCACCCCCCAAAGGAGATGAGTTAGAAACAAGTGGCTACTGGGCATGGCCTGATGCCTGCAGAACAGCCCCGCCACCTCTGCTCCATGTGGCCTGTGGCCCCACTGCCCACACACAGCACCACTCCCCCAAACCAGTGCCATGCTGGGCTGGGGGCTCAGCCTGAGTCTTGCTCCCAGGCCTATCTGAGCAAGGGACTCACCACTCGGGGACCCAATCCGAGCAGAGAGACAGGCCCAGGGCTCACCTCAAAGCCACTAAGCTCAGCGCTTTTGGGCCTTTGCTGCCTGGTGGGTCTGGGGCGGGCTGACAGCTGTGTGTTCCGATACTCCTTGAGCCGCTCCAGGAGAAGGTAATAAATGGCAGCAAAGTGGTTGTAGCTGCTGTTCTGGAGTGACTGGGAGAGACAGAGAAAAATGGCTCAGAGTGCAGTAGCTCACAGTGTTGCCAGGAAGTGCCCTGGGCTGTTTCTGCATCGTGTACCAAGGCTTCCTACAAGACTATTCCCAGGTTATTTTGGGTGGCCAAGAATACCCGTTAGAGGAGTGGACAAGCTGGCCCTTAAATTAGCCTGGGCACCCATTTTAACCCGGCTGCTTTCCTGACAAAGCCGCTCCCACTACCTGCTTGTGGCAGGCTGGCACTCACCTCCACAGTCCTCTGCCTGTCAATACCAAGGGTCTGCATGACGCCCAGCACCTGCTCATCATAGTCGCCCAGGTTGGAGTTGTAGCTATGCAGAGAGAAGGCGGGATCTGCCTGCTGTAGCAGGGCGGGGTCAGCCTGCATCCACCTGTGCTGCCGGATCTGGGCAATGGTGATGCGCTTGGCGGGGTCCACCACCAGCATGCGGCGGATCAGTGTCTCACAGTCTGGGGAGTGGCAAGGGAGACACGCTGAGCCTCGGGTGGGCCGGGCTTGCATGCCCATTCCCACAACGAGGCCCCTTTCACACCACCCCATGCACAAGTGACTGTCCTCAAGAACACTGAAGCCAGGGCAGCAGCCTCAGCTGAGACCTGCCATGCAGGGAGGGCCGCGGGCTTGGGGGGGGAGGGCTGGGTCCTGGGGAGGACACGCTCTTGGGCTACCAGATGGAGAACCACTTAGGTTCCCCCATTCTGCTGACACATGCTTGAGCTGGTGACAGGTCAAATGTCTTTATGAAACAGGAAAGCACTATGCACAATGGCCAGTGGGCAACTCGGGGACCAGGTCAGCACCTGGGTGAGGGTGCTAGGCAGGGACGACAGGAACAGGGCCTTCAGCTGCTCTCCAGGAGGCAGCCTGTGGAGCGAGGGCACTGCGTCCTATAAGTAGGGCACCGAGAAATCACCCCGGGCATTGGGTTTCTCCTGCAGTCCACAGTAACCAGGGCCTAATTCCCAGACGCGATGGTGGACTAGAAGACAGTCCAGCAGGTATTTCAGGATATCCACTCCTCCTTCCCCCACAGCCGCCTCCCTGGCTTACCCAATGTTCCTGTGGCAGGCAGGCACTGCCGCACACCTACCTTGAGACATGAAGAAGGGGATGCGGAACCGGCCTTCCAGCACCCGCTGCCGCAGTGTCGGCAGGTTAGGCCCATCAAAGGGGAGCGAACCGCAGACAAGGACATATAGCACGACGCCCAGGCTCTGCGAATGACCAAACAGCAGGATCAGTGCCTGACACGTGCCTGGGACACGCCTCCCAAACAGCGTCCATGCCCATGCAGGCTCCTACCCAAATGTCCAGCTGGGGGCCTTCATACTCCTTCCCTTCAAAGACTTCAGGGGCTGCATACGGGGGGCTCCCACACCATGTGGACAGAGGCTCTCCTGGCTTGTAGAAATTCCCAAATCCAAAATCTGAGAGGCAAAGCAACAGACGGGTCAAAGGTGACCCAGAGATGGCAAGGGCCACAGTTTCAAAATGTATATAAAAAAGGCTCGAGACCCTCACTGGCCAGTCCCTCCCACCCCAGCCCCCGCCTTGCCTGCCAGCTTGATGTCCATGTTGCCATCCAGCAGCAGGTTCTCGGTCTTGAGGTCCCGGTGGACTATGTGGTGGTTGTGGCAGTACTCCACAGCCGACAGGATCTGCCAGAACTTCTTCCGCGCTTCGTTTTCACTCAGGTGCCCATTGGAAGTCAAATAATCTGAGGTGCAACAAAATAAAGCTATGTCCCAAACAGCAGGTCTGGCCACCACCTGGGGTACAGCTTCAGAATGCTGCAGGATTTAGCATGTGCAGACACCAACATTGGTCAAGCAAACCTGCGAGGTGAATTCCAATTGTTTGCAACAGATATTAAAAATAAGGGTGACTTACCAAACATTTCTCCATTTTTGGCAAATTCAGTGACAATATAAAGCATATCCTTTGTTTCCATAACCTAAAAAAAATAAAGACCTAACATTTAACCACACAAAAAAGGAATACACCAAAAGAATAAATAATCCACTTGAACCCCAAGTAAATGTTTAACTTCTCCGGGACAACTCCATTCATCATTTAAAAAATAAAAGAAAAAAACAAATAAAAATAAAACAAACAAAAAAATCTCTGCAATAAAGAAAGAATTAAGGGGATTCCTAGTCAGAAAGAGTTTTTAAAAGTCTGAGGTGTATTTCCTCACTAACTTGCTGATCCTGATGTATCTTTGCTCTCAAAAAAGTCTAAATGTGTTAGAATTCTCTTATATCATTGTACTAACTCGTTTGTTAGAGTTCTGCTGGACTTTCTTCTACAAGCCTAGCAGGCAACAGATTATTCAAACCAATGGCGAGAGCAAACTGAATAGTAAATAAACACCCCATTCCCAATTGCTTTATTGACAAGATAAACTAGGCTGTAAGAAGCCGGCTTTACAAGGGAAGCCACAATAGACAAGTCGTACAACAAATTACTCATTATGTGTCAACAGCAACAGCCACCACCAATATACACCTTAAAAGTTCACTCATCGATCAAGAATTTTATTTTACTGAAGAGATTTAAAACACCACTAATTAACAAACAAGGTAAAATTCAAATTTTGGGTACTGAAAGAAGTAAAACAAACTCATGTCCATGTATTTAAAAATATTTCAGAGGAAGAGAGACAACACATTCTTACGGGAAAAGATGTCGTTGGGTTCAAAATATAGTTATTCCTTTAAAAAGACACTTTGAAGACAACTGCTTTGAGCTGTAAATCTCAGAAGAAAAGTGTTTTTTAACATTCTAGCAGTGTAGCTAGAATTTTAACTGCACCTGCCTCCAACTGTGTGTGGAAGAATGACCAGTAAGACCAAGACTTATCCCCTTCTTCAGTTGAAAAAAAGCAGAAGGACAAAGAATTAAGAGTCAGTGTGTTTTAACTTTTCAAAAAAGCCTAAAGGAAAGAGTGAAGTGTCTCAGCAGGGTTCTGGGGCCCAGGCCAGCTGAATGAAAATTAGACACTAGCGTCAAAACCAGTCAGAAAATCATTGTAATACCACTGAATTCTACCATCTTCAAAGTTAAGGAATCACACACAGCAGCGATAAGAAAATTCACTTCCAGAAAAGACCTCTAGCATCGGTTGCACGAGCAATTTGTTTCATTAACTGAGCTGATCCCACACAGTGGGCACAGCAGACAGACAGGAGACAAGGAAGGTACTAACACTATGGTTCAGCCCTTCAGCAAAGTCAAAAACAAAAACAGCCCGGCCCAGCCCTGAGGAAACCGGCCAGACTCATCTCTGCAGCCACGGAGGGGATGTCTTATCTCAGCGCACAACTTAAAAATAACAGAAATAAACATGGACCCCAGTAAAGACACTGCGCAAACTGTCGCGTCAGGGGAAACACAGCTCCACCAGTACTTCTTTCTTCTAACTGGGTGGAAGAGGCTTCCGGGGGATAATTTCAAACCATAATTCTATCTCCTACCACACTATACATCTAACCTTCGCAACTGCACAAACACACAAACATCCCATAATCACCTCAGATTCACATGGTTTCATGAGAATCACTAGTAGGAACTTATACCCCCCAAACTGGATGAAATACTGAGCATTTGCAAAGAATTTATTCTTCTGCAAGACCTGATCTCATCTCTGTAGAAGTGGTCATCTACCACCAGGGAGGTGTCAGAGATTGCTTTGCTGTCCTAATTAAATTAATACTTATTCCCCAAAGATATAACTTATTAATTTAAACATGAGAACAAAAATAAAGTCACAGAACAAACCAACAGAGGAACAGGGTGAGGCATGTTCCTAACGTGGATTAAATGACAAGTTCCTTGCTCCTACTATGGCAAAAGTATTTTCATCTCTCCATTTTTCATGGAAGAGTTTAAATAGAAAAGACAAATGTTCACTACTGCCTTTGCAAAGATAAGTTAATGAAACTGGTAAGAGCAGCTGGTTTTAAATTAATAATTATCTGCACAGACAGAAGTTTCCAGTTTCATTCAAATTTGTCCATCTATTGGATGTGGTTGGTTGTTTTCACAGTAAAGCAAATTTAACAACAGACCTCTACACATTTAAAACTGAAACAATTTAGGATACCAAATAAATTTTAATGAAACAAATCTCAATTACGACCCCAAACCAGGAAAATAATTGTAAATACATGTACACAGCTTACAAAAAAAATTCAGTCTATTACAACTGGGAGTCTATTACCTGACTCCCACATGTGCCCCCCAAAAAGGGCAACCTTCAGAAGTTACAGACTTATATTGTTGAAAATAAAAAAATAATATACTTGTCAGGGTTAACAGGGAAAGGCAAACGTGAGCCCTTACCTGGTAAAGCTTGATGATATGAGGATGATTTAGAAGCTTCATGAGCTGAACCTCCCGATATATTTTCTCTAAATTACTTGAATCTAATCGTGTTTTATCGATTATTTTTATTGCAACCTATAGATTTTAAAAATATATATATTTTGTTAAAAAAAAAAACCCTCACTTAACTTACAAATTTCATTTTCTGCAAGTTAATTTTTCAAATATTATACGTCTCCAAAAGGTCACAAAAAGTTGGGGGAAAAAAAATAACCAAAGTAACCACTAACAATATTTGAAATAATCAAAATCAAATAAATGTGTTAAGTATTTGCAGGCTCACTTTACAGGGATTTAGCTCTGAAACCATGAACCACTGCTCTTTTTTTTTCCGGTCGTTATTCTCTGCCAATATCCTAACATTTGTATAAAATATGCAGAAATATAATATAAAGCATTTTTTCTGTACCAAATTAAAACCTGTCAGCGTTTGCCCATTATGACAACCAACCCTGAGGGCACTGAACCAACCCGGGGTCCGCCCAGCTCGGTCGGGGTCGCGTCGCCCCGCCCACCCGGACCCACCCCTCCTGGGTCCGCAGCCGCGGGGAAGCCCCGCCG